CAAAATCGCTTGCAAACAAATGCCCCGAAGAGTTCATTCAATTTGTCAACAAGTTGTTGCGTAGATCTGAAACTCGGGGTTCGCATAGCATTCGTATGTCGGGACAAGCGAGATATATATATTTCCAGAAACGGGACGTGACATCTGTATTCGTGCCGTTCCAGTGGGAACCGAGCAATGTTTCAGACGAGATGGATTGCAAGAAGATGTTTTGAGCCATCAGACACCTGACGTGCCACACAGCCGTCCTGGATTTCTGTCGCCCGACCCAGATGGGTGCGTGGACTGAACAAGTGTTTCATGGACTTAATAAGTTCATGGACAAACTTGGTGGCGAGTATTCGACATTGTTGTGCTTCGTTCCACGCCCTTGCGAGTTTACATTCTTGAGGCGAGTCGCGATGTGGGACATTCAATTGGATCTTCTCAAATGGACTCGTCTACAACAAACAAAGGGGAAAGTGTATAAGGTTGCAAACTTGCCTTTGGAGCACACAGATAGAATGGTGGTCATCATGTACTCCAACGACGGGGATTTTCATCTCAACACTATTCCCTTGTTTGAAGATATTCAAGCTGCAGGTCCATCATCTGTCGAGCGGGTGGATGACATATCGGCACTTGTGCGGAGAGAGAGAAAGCCGAAGATGTTGACTGATGTCGTGGAGAAGAACTTTCTACCATCAAAGTGGAAAATCGCATGTATGGATCCACCAGAGAAAGTGGTCTATGATGGTATGGAAAGGGAGCCGAATGCAATGGTGGAGACATTGGAGCATTTTTGTCCTGCGGATGAGGCTGTCGTTTTCCTCGGGAAAGGTCATGAGGGATTGGTTTGGGAGTTGTTAAAGAGTCACCGTCATTGCATTGTGCTGGAAGGGGAGGGTATGGAGTTCGAGTTCCTCACTCAATTCATTGACAAGATGGTCAAAACTCGAGATTACTACGCCAACTTTACTAAGCCGCCTCCTCGACATGATGAAGGGCGTGATCTCGTCTACAAGGTTGGTCAAAACGTGGTCAATATTTGGGAGTTTCTCTTCGAAACAAAGCCGCAAGACAGAGGGGAACGTACTTATGTGCTCAAAAGAAGAAAAGTGGAAAAGCTCTTGAGGGGTTATCATAAAGCACCATCGAAAAGGGAGGTTTCATTTCTCGACCGCTTGGAGACAATAAATCGGGGCATTTACAATCGCAGGTTATGCGACTTGTTTTGTGGATGGTGAGGACTTTGATGCCGACGACTGAGAAGAAGAGAGTGTTGATGGCACTTTGCAAGCGGCTTTGGCAGATGAGAGACAAAGACCTTGTAGAACGGCTTCACATTCGCAGAGAATGGGTGTTCCAGGCACATCGTCCGGTTCTGGAGGCGCTTCGAGCATGGCGGTTTCAACGGATCAGTTAATGACTCAGCTACCGACTTCTTCTATTGTTACACCGACTCAGATGGCAGGCAATACGATGACGGTGACATCAGGAGGCAGTCTGGATCTGAATGTTCTAGCAATGCTCTCCCAAGAGGTGGTGGCAACTCTGGCACCATTTGCACACAACCCAAGTACTATTATGGAATTGCTACGCTCTCGAACTCCACAACAACCTCCACCTGATGAGCCTTTGGAGTACGAGATTGGAGACACAATCCCTGCATACATTCGACTGCTTCCGGGGCCTATAGTGTGTCAAGACGATTATACGGTGACGGATGATGCCACATGGGGTCATCACATTATATGGCACCCCCAATACTTCCAACCTGCATTGGCGAGAGGGAGGTGGGTTATGGCTATAAAAGAAGAAGGGGAGTGCAGTTTTGCCTTCACAGACGTATGCCAGGATCGAACTTTCTGAAACATGCAAAAAATCAGATTGCCAAGCGACTCCTGCGACTTAATCCGGAGGTTTCTCAATGCAGACTAGATGTAAGAACAGAAGAAATTTTCCAAGAGTTCAAAACATCGCAGTGGCTTGAGTATCTTGAAGAGTTCTATGATAGACCAGCCCGTCTTATGGATATTATTGGCATGTCAGAGAAGATCTTGGGGAGAGGAAAAAATCAAGCGGCGGTGGTGACCATGGCAAAGGATCCGGATCGAGCGCAGGTGCGCATGGCAAAGGATTGCGATCGGGGAGCGGTGCAAGTGACAAGGGTCCGGAACCAAATGACGGTGCAAGCGGCAAGGACGCAAGTCGTGGGGAACGACAACAAACCGAAAAGTCTAAGGGGCGTCAAGCAACAGAAGGCAAGGGATCAGCACGAGGCGGCGGTGGGCATGGCAAACCTACAGGACCAAGCGGCGGTGGTTCAACTGTCGAAGGGTCTCAGGGGCCTCAAGAAACAGAGCGCAAGGGAGCAGGATCGAGTGGTGGTTCAACTGTCGAAGGGTCCCACGGTCGAGTCGAACACGACAGTGGCCTCGCATTGGAGCGTTCCTGGCTTGACCAAGCGAAGAAACTCACGGTTGAGTCGAACTTGACAGTGGGATTGGAAACGATCGCCGATGCGAATGGCAAGGCTTCGGGACCAAGGGGGGGCAGTACAACTATCGGCGGTGCTTCACCTGTCAAAGAGTCACACAGCTGTGTCGAACACGACACTCGTCCAGCATCCGAGCGCTCGCGGCTTGACCAAGCGAAGAAACTCACTGTCGAGTCGAACCCGACAGTGGGATCGGGATCAATCGCCGGTACAAGTGGCAAGGCTTCAGGACCAATCGATGTTGTTTCACCTCTCGAAGGGTCACACGGTCGAGTCGAACACGACAGGGGTCCGCTATTGGAGCGCTCCCATCTTGACCGAGCGGAGAAACTCGTGGTTGAGTCCAACCTGACACAGCAATGGGGATCGATTGTCAGTGCGAGTGCCAAAACTTCGGGACGAAAAGGCGGTGTGAGTTGCGAGGGCGTGAGTACACCTGACCAAGTTTGGGCGACTACGATACTAGTGGGCGACAGTGTCGCTATGGAAGTGGATATTACTGGTACACTCACGGAATTGCAGATGCCGTCGTCGACGATGCCAGCCGAAGTAAGCGGCACTTTCCAGGACACTTTGAGGGCGTAAAGGAGGAAGAAACTCTTCATGTACAGGGCATCGAAGAGGATAAAGGACATATAGTACTAAGTACACCGGAGCAAGCTGTACTTGTACAACCTCAACAAACGCTTGAACACCCTCAAACACCACAGTCTGCTAACCTCATGATAGCTATCGAGGAATCTCCTATTGCGCCATTGCATATGGAAGGTGTGACAGAAGGTCGTGTTGAAGAAAAACTGAGAGTTAGCCATCGAGGTGAGCATTTTCTTATCTAATGAGCAATATCTAATACTATATGCGGATTAGTGGGTACATCACGTGCACTCATCTCCCATTGTGTCGATCCCTCAGATATATTGTTTATTTACCTAGCTTTGGAACTGTGCGTTTTCGGAAGAGAAATACTGCAATTGTTTTGTATGAAGACTTAGTGCAATTGCCATATATTTTGTATTGGTATTCATGAGTCAGTTTCAACAACGGAAAGTCGGACTTGTAACTCATTATGTTTTATTTTGTCAATCATGCAAGGCGATGAAAAGAACTGTGGAAAACAATAAATGTACACTCGCAAAGGAAGAGAGAGAAGAATATCATTCGTCGTGGCTTGCAAGTTTTGTCAACTTTGTCGTTATTGCCAAAAAATGAGAGAAGAAGTCGTACACCCATGATATTTCCATCTGTGAAGCCAGCTGCCTTAAGGATGTTTAAAGTTGTTGGAATAAGCCTCACAGAAGGGAAGAAATTGCATCGTGCAGGTTGCAGTTTATCTTTTATGGATAGCAGCACTGATGACGAAACAGATAGACAACCAACAACATGAGCTTATATCTATGTAGTCTATCACTTGTTTTTGTGTGAAGTCTTAGTCGCTCTATTGTTGTTTATATGTGTGTTTGTATGCAGTGCATGACCCTTCGTTCCAGATTTCTTTAGCAACAGTACGCCTTACTGTAGAAGAAAAGGAGTATCTTGAAATGATTACCGGCAGCACTGAAGAGAATGAAGAATATGACATTGTCGATTACAAGGGGAGGTGGAAGGTGGAAAAGAAAGACGTTATGCTTGCCGCTAAAGATGGAGAATGGTTAAATGATGAAGTTGTCAATTTGTACCTGCTAGCCGTTCAGATCACCAATGACTACATCAAGAAGGTGGATTCGACATGTGCAGAAGTGGCAAAAGATGAAAGTTCTTGTAGCATTCCATCTGTGCATATTCTAAATTCTTTTTTCTTTCCTAGATTGTCAAAAGCTCAGTCCGCTAAAATCGCATACTCCGAAGGGACGAGATGGGTGAAGGACATAAATCTTTTCAATTTTGATTTGGTAATTATCCCTCTCCATTTCGGAAATCATTGGGCCTTAGTTTATGTCAGTATAAATCGCTCTGAGTGTAAATTCCGCCTCGTAGACTCTCTTCATCGAGTTGACTACGGTCCAGCCCTCGAACTTTTGGGAGGTTTTTTCAGAGCGGAGTTTTAGCGATAAAATCTTCGGGAAAAATATCATGTGGAGGAGCCTACATCCTACTTTGATACATCAGTAGATGGGATTCCTGCTCAAGAGGATGCTTTTAGTTGTGGTGTTTTTATGTTAGGTTTTGCATCTTTGCTTGCAAAAGGTTTCTTCCCTCCGTTCGTTTTCTCACAAGATAGTATTCCTGATATGAGACTTAGAATAGCATTTGACATTTTGTTCATGGTTAGATAGGAAAGTCGATGAGAATTTCAGGTTCTAGGTTTGGAAAAATGAGGTTGACATGTTTACTTTGTGTGAACATTCCGGGTGAGAATGTGTATTATAGGCAATTTTGAAAATATGTTGACAATGTATAATGACATTTCCTAGACTTCTCATCAGTTGTTGATGAGGTTGGCGTGTTTTACTGAGTGACATGTTTACAGAGTGGATTGCCAATCCTTGAGTGACATTTTTGCAGTTCGTGTACGCGTGAACATTCGAGGTGAAAAATTTTGTTTAATTTCCTTCAACAGCTTTCATGTATAACCATTGTTTTCTCGTTGTTTGCTTATTTTTCCCTCAGTTCTTTGTGTCATTTTACAATTAAAATAAAAAGTGAACATGAAAACAATTTCACTTTTAACGAAAACACCGTTACTCCCTCTCGCTCTTCCTCATCCGGCAAGTTGCGCTTTCCTCCCGACTGAGTCTTTTCAGGGAACAGCCCCTGCTCGGACACCTCCTCACCGGCGACGTTCCCACTTGCTTTTCGTTCCAGGCTTAACTCCGTCTGCAGTTGCACAGGCGCAGGTTGGGCCCAGCGAGTCGTCTCATCTGACCCACGCATCTCTCGAACCTGCGAACCACCCGCGCGATCTCCAGGCGAAACCTCAGCCACCTGCATGCCACGAACGAACGAACCGATCCTTTCGACAAGACCACGAGGAGTCGTCAATTCTGAGCCCTGTCGCAACCGTTCGCCATCGCCGCCTCCACTTGGCGTCGACTCTCCAAGCAAACCTTGGCGGCGAGATCCATGCAAGCCCGGTTTCGAAGGAGCACGCGGATGGTCGTCCTCCGAGTCGTCTGACATGCCCACCTCTTGATCAGGAGGCGTAGCTGGGAGGCCACCCTGACCTCCCATCCCCCTTCCAGAGCACTCCTTTCCCGCAAACCCAACAGAACCACTTATCGATGTCCCAGGTCCGACGTCCACGGCACTGACAGAGGTACCAGATCGCGCCCAGACCTCGAGGAAGTCTATCACGTGAACGGCCTTGTCGTGCCCCGACGCTAGCAGAACAAAGTACGGCAAAGACATCGCAAGCCCACCGTACCCGCCGAACATCCTCCCGGCAACCTTGCATCCCTTTGCGATGTCGTCGATGGAACCATCACTTCTGTAATGCTTCTTCAACGTAAACTTGAAATTGTATTTGCCATCGTCGACCCACTGGACGATAGACCCTACGAGACGCGTTCTGTCGGCGCGAACGGCGACGAACAAGAGCGGCCCGCACGGTGGTTGCAACGGGTCGGAGTCGTCCAGGCTCGCCCTGTCCAAATACCAGACATGTTTGTTGTAGTCGCACCACGAGTTTTGAGCCTGTCGTTCTTCCTCCCCACCGCCACCTCCCCGACTCGTTTCCCTTGCCGGCGACGACGTCGTCCCTCGACGCTCCTCTCCATGCGGGGCGGAACCACCAGCGGAGTGGCTTCATCCGTGTGTAGCCATTCCCTGAAACACACAGAGGAAATAAACCCACATGCACTCAGAACAGTCAGCACGTCCCAACATCAACCACGACCCACAACACGTATTCTGTTATCGGTCACCCGGACTCCAAAATAACGAAGTTCAGTCATAGTTAGACGACAGTGGTACCCACGCCTGCACGTTTCGGATGAATCCGAGGCATTGTGAGCCATCCTCGTCACAATGCCCTTAAAAGAACGAATGGTCGAAAACGAAGACCGCGGGATGGATCGGATACATCCGAAGCAGGCGCAGTCGAAAAACCAACGTCGCATAGGCACCTGCACCGGGAAAAGCTGTACCTTGCAAGAAGGCACTAGAACGCTGACAGAGCAAACGAAGACGTGCACCCCGTGGTCGTACGGTGTCATCCGAAGTCGACAAGCGGATTGTAAAGTTCGCCGGTGTAGTTCGGATGCATCCGAGCTCCAAAGTGGTGTGGACCACCCCCTTGCGGCCCGGACCAAACCGAACTCGAGTTTTCTTGTCCTTCTCAGTCGGTAACGGTTGTGACTCGGATGCATCCGAATTCGAACAGCGCGGTCCAGAGACGGTCGTCCACAAGAGGTCGCCATCTACAGCACGTGTTTTCGTCATCGACCTGTGAGCACTGGGTTAACCCTATCCTACCGGAGGTTTGGTTCGGTTGAACCTGAACTTCGCAAATGTGGTTCGGATTAATCCGAGACGGGACCGGCGGATGGAGCCCACGGTCTGTTGACGCCCATCCAGCCGTCCAAGCTTCCGTTATTCCCCAGCTTTCCTTGGGTCCACCCGAATTTCACTCGGTGTGTCTTCGTCCTTGAGTGTTTAAGACGGGTGTGGCTCAGATTTATCCGATTTCGATAGGTGCTGCCCCAATACGTGCGACCACGACAGGCTGCGCCGACACCGTGTACTTTCATCGTACAAGTTTATCAGACCGTGAGACGTCGTCAATACCCTCTCTGCATGTGGTAAATCCGAACAAGCCATCGGTGTGGTTCGGATTAATCCGACTTCGCCGAGGCGCTACGGTTTGTTGTCGCCCCACCACACACCGGACATCCCCTCGATTGTCGTAGTGTGTCATTATAATATGTGCGTCATCACGGGGGATGTCGTCGTCCTCGTGAGTTTTAGTTAGTTGTTGCTCGCCCAATCCAAACAACAGACACGTTTGCTGTAGTCGCAACACAAGTTTCGAGCTCGTCTTTCTTCCACCCGAGCGTCACCATCTCGACTCGTTTTAGTTGCATGAATCCAAGGCATCGTTAACCCTCGTCATCAGACTACCCTTCGTAGAGCGAATGGTCGAAGACGAAGACAGCGGGGGAGTTCGGACACATCCGAACTGGGCAGAGTCGAAAGACCGACGTTGTGACTCGGATGCATCCGAATTAGCACAATGCGAGACAGAAACGGCCGACCACAAGAGGAGGCCATCGGCATGGCGTGTTTTCCTCAATGACCTGTGAGCATAGGGTGGACCCTATCCTGTCGGAGGTGTGGTTCGGATTAATTCGAGACGGGGATCAGTGGATGGACGGCACGGTCTGTTGACAGCGTGTGATTTCGTCGTTCACGTTTATGAGAACGTGCGACGTCGTAAATACCGTCTGAGCATGTGACAAATCCAAATTTGTCGTCGGTGTGGTTCATATTAATCCGAACTTCGCCGAGGTGCCTCGGTTAGTGGTCGCCCCGTGAGTTTTAGTGGGTTGTGGCTCGGATGCAACCGAAATTAACAAGGGTGGCTCGGATACGTTAGTTGTTATGCCACCACAAGATGGTATGGACAGGGTGGGCTGTCGTCCTCCTGGTTGGTCAGACATGTCGCCGTCGACAATACCCTATGAGCATCTGATCGCTCCGTGTCCAGTCCTGTGTCCATGTCAGCGGAAGGGTTCCTCGCGGCGTTCGGCTGACGTGAGGTTTGATAGGGTTTAAAGATTTGAATTCACGTTCGCGTCCTGTGTCTTCGGATCTGTCGTAGCAGTCTTCGGATTACTGATCCGTGATTGCACTCAGGGGGGGCCAACCTAAGATCGGTTGAGCAATTGTCTGCGATACACAAAGATTGGAGAAAGGCAGAAAACACGCATAGACACGGAAGGGAGACTAAGATCGATAGAGCATAGGCAGCGAGAGAGCCTGTCTTTATCTCTCTGTCTCGCCATGTGCAGATCCTGCGGATGGTGTTGTCCATTTCGGAATTCGCAATGTGACCCACTGATAAAATTGCGCAAAAGAAATATAAGAAAAAATTGTTCGTGTCGACGAGAGGAAGAGTGACGAAAAATGTGAAAAATTCGACGAATGTGGAGGACAATTTACGGATCTAGAACCGAATGCCGAGCGAACTGCATGACGAGACTTACGCGGAAAAACGAATAAATAAACCGAATGCAATAAAAATTAATTCGACGAGAAGAAAGTCCATGTGCAATCCAAAAGAGACACAATTCGTGAGAAACCATGTTCTCGTGTTCGACAACATATGACTAAAATCCTTATGTCGCAGTTCAAGAGAGAGAGAACAAATTGACGACAAGCGAGTAACACTTCAAGAAAACATGTGAAGTGACGACACAATCTCGAAGGGCGTGTCACAACATTCTCGGGCTACATTCGCAGGTCCCGTTTCGTTGGTGACCACTCGCCCCGATCAGATGGCATACTCGCACGTCCACGTGTCAGCTCTTGAACATGCGTGGCCACGCTGATGGATGCGGGGCTCAATTCGACAACATTCCGTTGTCGGATAGAGCCCCGCATCCATCAGCGTGGCCACACTTGTTTAGGACGTGACACTTTGACGTCTCAGTGTGCCATCTGATCGGGGCGAGTGATCGCCAATGAAACGCATGCATTCTTGCTCCCGAAACTCCTTTATCTCGCCCCGATCAGATGGCACACTCACACGTCCACATGTCAAGTCATGAACATGCGTGGCCACGCTGATGGGTGCGGGGCTCTATTGGACAACATTCTGCTGCCGCATAGAGCCTCGCATCCATCAGCGTGCACACGCTTGTTCAGGAACTGACACGTGGACGTTTGAGTGTGTCATCTGATCGGGGCCAGTGGTCGCCAATGGAACGAGATCCGCAACGTACCCCGAGGTAAGTTCAGGAAAGAAACAGGCCAACGCATAAGACGAACGAAATAGAAGCCTTGAAGACAACTAACGACGGGGACGAAGATCGTAGTTGAACACGACGGCACACACGTCCACGTGTCAAGTCCTGATCGTGCGTGGCCACGCTGATGGGTGCGGGGCTCTATTCGACAACATTTTGTTGCCGCATAGAGCCCTTCATCCATCAGCATGCCCATACTAGTTCAGGACCTAACACGTGGACGTGTGAGTGTGCCATATGATCGGGGCGAGTGGTCGCGAATGGAACGAGATCCGCAAACGCACGCCAAGGTAAGTTCGGGAAAGAAACAGGCCAACGCATAGGCCGAACGAAACAGAGGCACTGAAGAGAAACTAACGACGGGGACGAAGATGGTAGTTGAACACGACGGCACACATGTCCACGTGTCAAGTCCTGATCATGTGTGGTCACGCTGATGGGTGCGGGGTTCTATTCGACAACATTGTGTTGCCGCATAGAGCCCCGCATCCATAAGCGTGCCCACGCTTGTTCAGGACCTGCCACGTGGATGTGTGAGTGTGCCATCAGATAGGGGCGAGTGGTCGCCAATGGAACTAGATTCGAGAAAGCAGGCCGACGCAAAAGACGAACGACATAGAGGCACTGATAGAAAACTAACGACGGGGACGATGATGGTGGTGGAACACGACGCTGTTGGTTCTGTCTCGTTCATTTGTCTGCGCTTGTTTGTTACGTTCGCAAACTTCGTGCGAGCAACACAAACAAGCGCAGTAAAACGAACGAGATAAAAGACAGAAAGAGAGATAAATAGATAGCGATAGAGAGAGAGCACGGCAGAGAGGCGACCTCCGCCTTCATCACACGGCCCAATCAAACGTCACGATCAAATGGCCCCGAACGTCACCCCGATCACACATCGGACTCACGGAGAGAAATCCCTGTTAGATCACACGACACTGCTCGTTCGCGGCGACTGAACCCAATGTAATCGCCACCGTGCGAATCCCGGCTACAGATCGCGTACATGTGTGGGCATTCTGACGGTATATGCAAACCCAGCATGGCAAGACTTTTAAGGTCGGTGGAGATGGCGAGAGAAAGAGAGAAAGAGAGACAGAGAGAGAGAGAGACAGAGAGAGAGAGAGAAAGAGAGAAAGAGAGAGAGAGGGAGGGGGAGAGAGGGAGGGAGAGAGAGAGAGGGAGAGAGAGAGAAATAGAGAGAGAGCGAGAGAGAGCGAGAGAGAGAGAGAGCCATATAGATAGAGAGAGAGCTATATCGAGACAGAGAGAGAGAGAGCCATATATATAGAGAGAGAGCTATATAGAGACAGAGAGAGAGAGAGAAAGAGAGAGAAAGCGCTATAGAGAGAGAGAGAGAGCAAAAGAGAGAGACAAAGCCAAATAGAGAGAGAGAGAGGGGGGGAGTGAGACAGAGAGAGATGAGAAAGGGAGATAGAATGAGAGAGAGAACGCACCTTTTCCTTCCTTGATTTACAACTGTTGTTGGAAACAATGGCCCCGGCGACTTGGTTGATGATCTCAAACCGCAATACGACGACGCGTGTCGCGACGCGCGAAAAGGGAGGTGCCGACGCGTGAGAGGGCAAAACCGCGAATGGAGACGTGGGCGATTGAGACGCGAAGGAGATGGCGAGGCGAGGGATATGGCGACGAGGGAGAGAGAGAGAAGCGAGGTAGACGGCAGGGGAGACGACGACGAGATGGCTGTGTCGCTGGCAAGGGCGGATGGTCCGGGCGCGCGACGGGCATTTTTGCCCGTGAGGGTTGGCGACACTTGCGATTGCCTGCTGCTTTGGACGATTGCAATGCCCACCTGCAAATTCGCGGAATGGCGCCACTGTCATTCGAATGGAGGATACATCTGCGAGGGGCGAAAGAAACGAAAGTGGGCGGGAAAAGTCACGCCGGATGACGCATTGGAACCGTCGATATCACGGTAAAATTCACGCGGGCCCCGATAATCAAAAGTGGGCGGGAAAGTTTGCGCCCAATGATGCGTTGGAACCGTCGATAGCACGGTAAAAAAAGGCCAGTCCTTTCGAAATCACGGCCCGCCCTCCCACGACGGTTTCGGATCGGGCGATTTCGTGAGGACGGTCTGTCAAAAAAGGGACCGCCTGATGTCACAGCCCCCAACGCGGCAGTCCACCCTTACTGACCCTGCGGCGGGCAGCTGAAGGGTCCCTCAAGCCCCACTCACTCCACTCACCGTTCTCCTGCCGGGCACCAAACGAATGGGGGTGGCTGTCACACCCATTCGCTGGTGTCATTTCTTCTGTGTGCTGCCTTTGCGATGCATCCGCCATCGCTCAAAGTCGCCGGCATCACATCGCAGGCCCCTTGCGCATCTAGGCCCTCATTCTTCCAGCAATCGTCGACAGCGGGGGGCGCTAACGAAAACGTCACGCGACTGTAGACCTTGCGTGTCATCCCGTTCGCGCTGTGCTCTTCTTGTGTCGGCTGGACACGTTTGTCGACTCGCAGGTCAGTAAGAAGCCCACGCCCCCTGCTCGGCCCCTTCACCATTTCAAGCCCCCACCTCTTTCCATTGCCCTTTCACTCCTTCGACCGTGCAAGTCTTGTTCTCTGCCACCTGCTCCGCCAATCACGCGCCCACGATCTTGAGCGCACAACGCCCACCGATCACAACCACGGAAGACCCCATGCAGTGACACACGCTGACGTCATCATCTTGCACATGGCGTCAGCGATGGGCAATGGCTTGGCTTTCACAGTCATCGCCCTCGAGTCTTGGCGTCCTCAACATCGCTTGTTGGCATCCTCAACATCGCTTGTTGGCGTCCTCAACATCGCTTGTTGGCGTCCTCAACATCGCCCTCAAGTCTTGGCGCCCTCCGACGACCACATCTGAAGCGTGGAGAAAGTCGCATTGCCCTCGAGTCTTGGCGTCCTCAACATCGCTTGTTGGTACACTTTCTTGGACCCTGGCTCGCGGGTCGTCTTTCGCCTAGTCTACTCAGGATATCGCAATGCAGTCGGTCGTGCGAGTCTTCTTCTACATCACCGCCTGCCTGTCAATCACGCACGAGTCGACATGCGCGCGATCTTGAGTCCACGATGTCCGCAGCTCACAACAACGAAAGTTTTCTTCCACTAACACACGCTGACGTCACCATCTTGCGCATGACGTCTAGAATTCGAAATGGCTTGCGGCTTTCGCAGTCAAGATCGTCGGACGCCTTCGACGACCGCATTTGACGCGTGGACTAAGTTTCGTCGCCGTTGCTCCCTGGCGTCCTCAAGATCGCGATATGTGATCACCGCTGTGATAACACATCATCCGATAGACGTCAACATCGGAGACGTCATCTGAAAAAACGCGTGTCGATCGACTTTCAGATCCCGTCCATCCATCTCCGGTGTACATCATCCCATGTCCCCGATAGTTGGAAGCCTCACTACAAACGCGCACCTCCAACAGGAATCGCACGTGTCGCACGCACAGCCAACAGTGGCAAAGCCACCCATCCACAACGTTCAGCGACGACCCGTTGCGCACAACGGATACCCATGGCGAATCCGAAACATCCCAGATTACCGCCGATCCCGCGACATCCCACCGCCAAGGGCCAACTTCGAGCTCGTTTCCGATCGACTCGGTGATTGAACATGTCCATCGCGGTTGTGTGCTCCCCACCACTTAACTCCGTATGATGCCCGTTTGTTTTAAGAAATGTTTGGTAAACTGATAATGTACATGCATCCGCCATCTAGTTGAAATTTAAGACTGATGGTTACTAGAGTTCTTAAGGGGTTCCCGCGGATACACTTTTTTTTGTTAACATACATCATTTGATCTCGGCGAGGATAGTGGCAGAGTAGTGGGCAGCATTGGGTAGGGATGTTACAAGTTCATGGTTGCAAGGTCGAACCCGGCAAGCGACAAATGATAACATCTCTACATAATGCTGCCCACCACTTCACTCCGTCCGACGCTCTTTTATTTTAAGAAATGTCTGGTAAGCTATAATTTCTTTTTGGAATGATAACATATTGGGCTATGATCATAAGTTCAACCTTTTGATTGAGTGAAGAATATTTAATGAATGACGCACGGTTGATAACATAACGGATTTTCTTCATCCGAATAATGAAATATTTGATATGGATATATCTCACTATTACTATAAAACTTGCCAACTTGTGTACTATGGATATCGAAATATGTGATTCGGATGTATCCTAGTCATCCTACTTGTATTCAATTCAACTTCAAAAATGAGTTATTCTTGTCACTCCCATGCACCCTTTAAAGCCTCAACGAAGACCTTTTTCGGGTCACTCATATGTGTCCCTCACAAGGTGAAACCTTCGATATGCTACGTTCATACTGACTGTCTGCGTGTCAGTTTAGTAAGGATGTATCCGACTTCACTAATTGAACTTTTCGTCTTGAAACAAACTAAATGTGTCGAGGATTTATCCATTGAACAGGGACTCTTATCGTCGTGTATTTATGTATAGTGATCATCTTCCTTCGTCAGCCGTGTATACCTTCGAGTTTCTCGAACGACAAAAGTACTATTTAAAAAATAATGTACTATTTTGATGAATAACATGTTTTCTTTTACTGTCAGATTTCGCGAGAAGTTGAGTTCGGACGTAGACATGGTTAACGACCGTGGATCGATGCCTAGTTTAGGCAATACGCGAAGTTCGGATGCAGGCAAACTTCTGTTATTTTGCAAATACGCAGGGCAACCCCGGACCACAGCCACACCAAAGGATATTTGAAAATGTGTAGTCCGCCGAGATCCGATCTTTAGGAGAGTGTGGGACTGCGGATTTCACAAAACATGCAAGTACGGATTCTGGCACACTCGTTCAGTTCGGATGCCGGCAAACTTCGTATTTTGGCGTGTTCTCAGATCTGACTGTGGTCTTTCTGTCGCCCCGTGGAGTGCAACAAGAACACAAGTTCTCCCGCATCCTCGATTCACATTTTTTCCTGGCACGACATTCGAAACGGTTATTCGATTCCACCCGTCGAACATTGGGTGCATTCGGCACCGCACTCGACACCTTTCGAAAACGGACAGCAGAACAAGTTCGGATGGCGGCGGACTACTCAATCTCGTCTAGCCACCAACGACACAGTGGTTTTCCTACTGCGCAACGGATTTTACCAAACACGCAAACATAAAACCTATCTCTCTTTCGATCTGTGTCTGACACCGTCCATAAGTTCGGATCCTGGTGAACTTCGCGTTTCCACATGCCCGTCGATCTGACAGTGGTCTTCCTTGTGCCCCTTGGTCGGACCCGCTTTGCAGCCGAACCTCGAACGAGTTATTTTTTCACTGACTTCGAACTATTATACTGCAAAGACTGCGCATTTTTTTGTCATCATTTGCTGGGTATTCACGACTCCCATTGTTAAACGTGTTAAAAAAAGTTCAGCTTAGATAGGCCTCACCGTTGGGTCAATTGCCGAATTTGTTTACGAGTACGTATCGTTTGGTATGTGTGCGTGATGTGTAGGGTGCATAATGTCATCGAGACCGTCGACAAGCATAAGCATGAGTCCCGAGACGCACATGCGCTTAGCAGAACCGTTCCCTCCTTGTGCAAGATCAGTACGGCATTTTAACAGTCATACTTGGATCAATGAAGCAACCAGAGAGGACTTCGAACAGGACCCATGGATGACCGTCGTCCCGTGCACACACCGGCATCTTGACGATTGCAGCGATACTACTTGGAAAGTGATGGAGAGTGGCTGCCCTTGGGCGAGCGATTACAAGTTTGCCAATATGTTAGAGTTCGGTGACCTCATTACACTGCCTGACGGTGTTCTCGAGCACAAATTCTTGAACCACGTGCGCAAAATACTCCGCTGCATCAACCGTCATTGCAGTCGCCTCGACTGGGAGTGCATCAGGTCGTCACCACTAACTTGGGGAAGTTCGCAGAAACAAGAGTTGTTGGACTACGCTCGTCATTGTTCATTCTTGGAACAGTACCCACTCCGCCGCTCCGGAATTTGTCCGCAATTTATGTCATACTCTGGTGTGCGGTTGACTATTGTCGGATTGGATTTCGCGAGAGTGCTATGTGTCGCTACTTCGAACAAAAGTAGGAAACTCGTCGATGCAGTTGTGCGTCTGTCACGGAACTAGGTGGCAATCGAGGCAACAGAGGGAAAGCCGACGTACAAGTTACGGCCGTTGCGGTACCACGGTCCAGATGGGTGGTCAGATTTGATAACAGCAGGCCAGGTCGAAGATTTGTCATGGTGGCATGAGGTGGAAGAGAAAGTGTCCGACATACGAGACTGTATAGGGAAATCCTTAGCACGACCAGGAGGGTTTGTCAGGATGAAATACATGTCCGTATTTTCGAAAAATGCAACAGTCGAGGGACCACAGATCCACGTGTATGCATCATCAATGAATGCTATGTACGGCTTCAATTCACGACCTAGTCCGCGGAAAACCCCGCACGTCACTAGATCCGGACGGGTTGTCAGACCTTGTGTTTAAGGGAAAAGGAGCGAGAGGTGTGAGAGGCATATGTGTAGCTCGAAATGGTAGATATGAAACAGTTCAGATAGGTCAGGGAGGCAGCACTTGCAAGTAGACGCTATACCGAGTATGTTTGTAGTGTGCGACTCGTGGCAGAATGTTTTTTCGCAGTGAAAACATCGTTGTCTGTTCTGCAATGTGCTGTTGGACGTTTTTTTGCATTGTGCGATTTCTCGAAACTCTCCGTGGGGTGTGTAACATGACGTTCACGAAAAGAAAAAGTCAAGTTGCGATGACAAGAGTTAATGTTATGAACGGATGTTATGTTTTTTGTCCATGCAAAGATTTGATGATATTTTCACCCTGGAATGTGCAAACGACAAGCAAATGGTCATATAAAATCATCACTCTGATGGTGTGCGCAACTTGCTGTCCCACCTCGGATGTTGAGGTGTGGATTAACCTATTTAGATAGTGTAATATGTATTGTTCGATTCATGGCGAGTTAATGGATAGGGGTGAACGATTTTCAGCCTCAGGCTGTAAGCTAAATCGCCTCATGATGTCGGCATAACTCCGGGTTGAATTGTTAGGTCTCCGACCTCTCTCGGTTTCATTTGAATGAATTAAAAGGTCGAATTAAAAAAAAAAAAAAAAAAAAAAAAAAAAAAAAAACTAAACTTGTTGTCCATCTGAGTGCGAGTTCACGCGAACTTGTGGTGTGATTCCCGAGCAATCCACTTGAACTTAATTTGGTCTGGCCTCCAACGACATTGTGGTTTTCTTGCTGCGCAATGGTTTTCACCAAACACGTAAGCACAGAGTCTATCTTTCTCTCTCTATCTCGGGCTCGCACCCAACTCAAGTACGGTTCCGGCGAACTTCGCATTTTCCACATGCCCTTTCATCGGACCCGCATTTGCGTCTGACCTCAGACGTGTGCGTGGATTCGTGTTGCATCTCGGGTTGCGATAACCCCACAGGTGCGGATCCTGTCTTCCTCTATTTCACTCTTTATCGCAGCGTCCTTGAGTTCGGATCCCGGCGAACTTGGCGTTTTTGCCTGCTTATTGAACTGACAGTGCTCTTTCGAACCCCTTGTGGATTGCAACAACAG